TACATACAAGCTGCAACCGCAGGCATCGCCGTCGACGGCGAGACATGCAACCTTGCACTTGAAGTGGTCAACCGGACGGACGGACGGACGGAAGGACGGACGAACAACTGAGCACAAAGTCTGGTTGCGTGCGTTTTTATGAATGAGTCCGGCAGGCGCAACAAATGTTAATCCGCGACCCCGCTAAAAGGTCGTACCACTAGCTGCTTGGCTGCCCGCCTGCCCGGCTGGCCAAAGCCGCAGGGCCAACCACCACCGAGTGAACGGCAATTCCCAGCGCTGGGTGGCCCAGGCAGTAGCTCGTTCTGTGATTAGGCGTAAATTGAAGCGCAGGCACAGGGCGCACATTGGCCAACTCTCTGTTCAATCCACTGTAGCCTGAAGTCTGTCCAGCCTGTGCCACAGACTGTGGCAAGGCTGCAAAAAGGGCAAGCTGTGTAAACAGATACAGCTGGACACTGACAAGGCAGCACAGAACAGGGAACAGGGAACTGGGCAAGACTGTGTGCGGTTCTGTCGTGTGGCTTGTTTTGGTTAAAGCCTGCAAGAGCTGCGCCCATTAATTTCTCCATTTTTACCATTTTTGCTGGCGCCCACAGCGTTTAAGTTGAAACTCGAAGGCATTCAAGCTGCTATTTAAGGTTGAGTAAAGATAAAAGAGTATCGAAAATTGATAAATAAGTTTCATTCATTAATTCAAACAAAAGATCAAGCAACTAAGACATCAATCTCTTAACCATTGGCAACTATTCTAAATTAAACAAAAACCATTTACACACAAATAAACAAAGTTAAACAGAATAAATCCGTGAACGTATATCATATATCATATGTATACAAACATTGCTCCCTTTGCTTCTCTTAGAGATCTTCCAGTTGATTCAAATATACAAGGCTTTGTTAGGCCTTGATTATCTGCATATTATGAATAGCTAAAAAGAGTTTTTTCTATCTAGATTTACTCATATTGATTGTATTTAATTATATATTTTTTTGTGTTTCTTTTTATCAAGCAAATACTGATTTTTGGCTTGTTTTAGTTCACAAATTACTCTAAAAAATATTACTAAAATTCGTTTCAATCTGATTTCCTTGTGTTTTCAACCCTTTTGTGCCCATTGAAAATAGGAATTCAAGCTGAAAAGGGTTTTGTGAAAATGTATATAACAAATAGAAAGAGGCGTGGCAGCACTAGTAGTAAGAATATGTAAAAATGATTATCCATCAGGATGACAAACGGATCTAGCCTAGTCTAATCTGTCGAGAAATGAGACTTGTAATTTTGAAAATTTTACTATTAATTTTACTGATCGATAAAAATCGATAACTAAAATTTTCTGTTTTTAGAGTAATTAAATATCACCATCAGGATGACAAATGGATCTAGTCTAGTCTAATCTGTCGTGAAATGAGACGAGAAATTTTGAAAAGTTTACTGATTATCGATAAAAATCGATAACTAAATTTTCCATTTCCAGAGTAGTTAAATATTACAAAAGAACTTGAAATTGAGCTTTTGAATACCTTCTCCACTTTTGGGTATTTCTTAGTCAGGCACTCCCTACTAGAGCTCTCTTATGTGTTTACATTGTGAATGACCATAAAAATACACCGAGAGATATCTGCGTATGCAAATAGCCATATTTCATATGATAAATCATGAAAATTTGCCATTTGTGAGCATTTCGAAATCATAGAAAATATCGTATTTCATGCAGAAAATTGATAGTGTTTCCCATGGATTTTCACGTAGCTCATTTGATAATGAAAACATTCCACATCATTTGTAATTCGAGCATAAACAAAATGAAAATCAGAGCTCGACTGGCCTTTTGCATTCAAAAGAGAGCCTTGACAAAGCAGACACTGGGCGCAGGTCAGCTGCGAGCTGCAACCGCAGTTAAGCCCCAGCGTTAAGTCAACTACAATGGGCATTCAGGTATTCTGGAATCGGGTGCGTTGTAGGCTTCACTAATCAGGGATACGCATCAATGCATACCAGCTCAACCTAGACGACCTGAAGAGAATGCCGCAATGCACGTTGCCCGACCAGTGGCTGCATTCACTGAGCCACAATCAGCTGGTGGGGCTTAAAGCCTCTGTCTGGCTTTAAATGGTAAATTTAAATGCGCTTTAAACGATTTTCCCGGGACTGGCCTTTGGGTAATTTGTGTGTGCCTTGCAACCTGTCGCTACCACAACTCACGGACTGCAATTTTTCAGCAGCTGACAAGATGTCGTCTCTGAATATGCTGTGCTGGGCTGTATTGCCTGCCTGGCCACATGGCCGCCTGGTCGTCCTCCCTCCTGCCCGCCTGTCTTGACTGCCTGCCTTGTCTGTGTGGTGCTGCATAATTGCATTGTGGTTTGGGGATTATATGTGCTTTTTTTCTCTGTGTTTTTTGCTGCTGCCCAGACACGATGTCTGCCCGGCTGCTGACTCACTTAAGACAGCGTCGTTTGCTAAGCCTTTGGCTTCGGCTGATTTGCGGCTTTTAAGCCTTAAATGCATTCAGCTCATTTAATTTACAAAGCCAAGCAACCCAGCAGCAGCTTTTATCGCCAGCTCTCTTTCTCTCTCTGTCTCAGTTTCTCGTTTATTATATAATTAAGTTAAAGTGAGCGGCGGCTGGCAATTTGCGTGCAGCTCCCAGCCTCCAGGTCCAACCCCCATTTTCAGATTTGACAGCTCTGCACGCTAATTTCTTAATTTTCACCTTCCGCTTTTGCGGTGGCAACTAACTAGCGACAGAGTCAGACATAGAACCGCAGCAGCAACAGCAGCAGCCGCCACAGCTCCGACCCGTATCCGTATCCGAACCCACTTTGCGTCTATACATAGCCGTGTGAAGCACAACCCCTTGTTGTTGTCTGTCTGTCCAAAAATCATTTCCGTAATTCTATGTCTATTATTATTATTATGACTTTTATTGTTATGCTCAACTGCCGGCTGCTCCTGCTGCTGCTGCTGTTATCAACACCCGCAACCATGGCGCGACGACCCCAAATACAACTTCAGGCTTGTGCAGCAACTGTCCAGCGCCAACCTCCCTTTTCGCTGATTGCTGCTGCTGCTGCTGCTGCCGCTGTCGCTGCTGGTTCATTCGCGCGTTAAATGTGCCTGATGGGTTAGGGGTGGGGGGTTGGGGATGGTTAGTAAATGAAACCCCCTCTATGCGATTGAAACTACGAATGGTTCATGCCGCCGCTCTGCTCTTTGGCTCGATGGCCGTTTCGTGTTCAATTTAGCGTCATAATTTCGTTGATGGCATGGACTGTGCTCGCTTTTCAACCCACACCCTAAACAGCAACTTGCCGCTAGCCCCACAGCCTCACAGTTGCCACTTGCCACTTCGCCCTGTCACAGTTGCTGTCAAGTGTTTTGTTAAGTTCATCAAAATTGTCGCCGGCTGTTACTGCTGCTGCCGCCTCCATTAAACGCAATTTTTAGTTGCGGCAGTCGCGTCTACTTGACTGTCATTCATACACTCATTTCATTCATTCATTCATTCACTCAGCCATTCAAGCAGTTCACGCCATTTACAGTTACAATTAATGTTTGTTTGCATGTCGCCCGCATCGCCCCACACATACACACACACCCACACAACATCAAAGTAGTCCCAAGGCAATTCGCCAAAGCCTCACCCTCTTCATCGTGCTCTGAGCCCTCTTATCAAAGCAGCTAAAAGCTTGCATATTTCATAAGAGCCAAGTTCATAAAAAAGTACGTCGAAAATGCGAATCCGGCCAGCCTGGCCAATTGCCCCCGGGGAGCATAAAGGGTCGTCGTGTGGCAAAAAGCGCAACCTTTGCACCAAGCAGCGGCAAGCAACAAGCAACATTCAACATAAATAAATATTTTTTTCTACACCTTGCACCTAGCCGCTGTCGCTGCCGCCTCTGGGACAATCACCTGAACCACCTGGATGCTTGGGATGCTTCTGGTCAACTGGGGCCTGTCATAAAGTATGTTAAATATTTGTTGAGCAAGGTGCGTGCAGTAATTTCAGAGCTCTGCCTCGGAGTTCATTAGATTTGTCGACTCAACTTGGCTCGAAGCGGAAGAGGGTTTGCAGTTAAAGCAGATGTATAAACAGTTGACAGCTGGTCACACTGGTCACACAATTGCGAGATTAAGAAATGCTGTAAGTTTACAGAGTATTTTAAGTTATTGAAGACATTTGCAAATATATATCAAATATGAGCATATTTGTAGATGATCTTAAGGTCTTGCATGTTGGTAAGCAGTATATATTCTAGTATTTTTTTATTATGGATAAAATTGAAATTTACTTTTGCCTAGAGCAAGTTCTCTATAAGATAGCTTCATACCATAAATGCTGAACAGTTTTATATATATATCTGATTTTTTTTTTAATATGTGCTCAAATTATTAGAATTTTATATATTCCAATTTTATATATTCCAATTTAAATTTAATTTGAATTTTCTTAAAATCAAGCTACTTAGTAATTAAGGGCCTCTAAATAAAGAACTGCCAATAATTTAAAATTATATACCATTTAATTTAGCTGAAATTACTAAAAACCAAATATACACAAAGCGAACTAGCAGCAAGTGTATTGAGTCTTCGGCAAGCCTAAGAAAACTGTTCCTACTTTTTTTACAGCTTTTTTTTGCACTTTGGCGGGCATTCGCCTAAAAGCGTGCAGGCATTTTTTTGTTATTGTTGTTGTTGCTTCTTTTCTTTTTTATTTTTCTGTCGAGCTGCTTTTGATTTGATTTCGCTTTGCCTTTTGTCATTGGCTCAACCACCACCCTAATTTGTTGTTGTTGTACACGTTTTGCATACAAAACTCACAAACACATTCATACGTGTACTTCACATGTATACAGGGGTAAACCAGCTCATTATGTACAAACATGTTCGCACACACACACACTCACACACAGATGCCCACAGCATGTAAGAATGTTGATTTTATTGTATGTGCGAGTGTGTTTGTATGAGTGTTGAGTGCAACTCTTTTACATACTTTGTGCTTGCACCTTGGCGTTTCACTTTACTTCGGTTGGTGCTGCTGTTGTTATTGTTGTTGTTGTTATAGCTGTTGCTGCTGCTGATGCGACGAACGATTTATGCACTTAACATAATTTAATTTCCAAAAAAGTGCCGCAACCAACAATAATTTAAAGCTAGCACTTGGCACACAGACACTTCTTGCTTGTTGTTGCGGTTGTTGTTACAGCTTTGTTTTGTTTGGTTTTGCTTTCCTTTTTCTTTTTCTTTTTTTATTTTTCTTCAGCTGGTTGTTGTTGCTGCTGGCAGGCCTTTAATCAAAAAGCAACAGAAACGCTAAAATGAATACAAGCACCGCGCGCGGAGTAAACGGCAGGCACTAGCTCCAAATGCTTGGACGAATCGGGTGCTGCAGGCGAATTATTCGCGAACCACTCACACACAAACACAGTGAAATAACTCGACGTTCGCTATGTTTTCTGTTTAGCTTGACAATCGCTTCGCTTCCGCGCCGTTTAAACACGTCCACTCGCAATGCAAGTCGTCGCGCAACTGAAAACTGGAAATGAAACCAAGTTGTTGCTGTTGCTGTTGCTATTGCTCTTGCTGCTGCGACCGCTGTCAGCGTCGCACAGTGGCTCTCTGCGCATGTTGTGGTTGCGATAGCTACGTAAGCAATAGGAATATATTTAATTGTTGCAAACTGAGTTATTGTTTAATTTCATTTCGTATTTATTGTATCAAATAATGTATTATTACTAAAGAATCTCAAACATACCGTTTGACAAGAGTCTGTAGCGGAAAAATATTAATAAGTATAGAATATATTGTTAATAAAAGTCTGAATATTTCTTTCAATTAATGTTAGTAATATTAATATAAATATTTTTATTTAAGTGATATTTATGAGATGCAAACATGTAAGCTAATTTAAAAGTTAGCTCACAATAAAATATCATCGCTTCACTGTGCGTCACTCCATGATGCTGCTGTTGTTATCGTGTTTATGTTCTCTTCATGCCATCGCTGATGCTGCTGATTTCAACTGTTCTCTGCAATGCAATCGCATTGGCAATCGCCATCGACGGAAGGTTTGATTTTTGTCTGCGGTCGCATTAAACTAAAGCACAGTCAAATGGAGCGCATAATGGGAAAGCCATAATTAAATTCAATTGAACATAGAATTAATGTAGATGTGCAGTAGCACGAGAAATAAAATTGTTTGCCCCAACTAATGGAATTTAACATTAAGAATAGTAGCTTCATCACTTTGAATACAGTTTTAATCTGGCTGCTTATATTTGCTTAACACTTGTTTGCAGCTCTAAAAAAAATTTAAAAACAGAAAACAGAAAATAAAATTAATTCAATTAGCTAACCACCCAAAAAAAGCAATCCGTGTAAAAAAACTCTAGTCCTATTAATTAGCCAAAATAGTTTTGCTATGGCCAGGTCTGCAGCACTGTTTCATTTGCCACGCGTTCCGCACAGCACACACGACACACGCACGCTCTCTTAACCGGCGCCGAGTCTCTTAGGCGATCCGCTCTCTTTGAGCGCAACGCACTAACGGTACTTTTGGATGCCAGCACACTGACAATTGGGCACTGCGTGCGTGCGGGGACACCGACACAAGCACACTGCAATAGAGCCCTCTGAGGCGAAACACTTTCGTGCTCTTTGGGTGCCATACTCATTTCCGGTTTCCGTTGCTTTGTGTGCGTGTAAAATTTGAATTGCGTTGCGAACTTTGGCGTCCTGCGTCTCTATTTTCAACGGTATTTCTTCCATGTTTTTTTTTTCTTTCTATCTTGCGTATTGCCATTTATGGAAAACACATTAATAGCTAAGCCCGTGGAGCAGGACGTCAGAGCTGGCGGATGTTTGTAATTTCCATGAGCAATGACAAGAGCGCCCATTGAACCAAGATTGCAGGATGACAGCCCCCCAGATTTCATATTTGTGGGCGTGACGCGTTGCCCAAATCGAATTGTCTGCTTGCAGCTGAAAACACATTTTATTAGCTGCCAATTGCCGGCAATGAAGAGAACTTCCCTTGGAGCAGGCTAATCAGCATTTGGATACGAAAGAGTATGAGGCACACGAGCCGAGTCGCGTCGCGTTGAGGGAGCTTTTAAGGTGATAAGAGGAGCATTGATTAGATAAGACCAGCTGGTGGCATTAGAATTAGAAGAAATAGAATCGAAGAAAAGGCTTCCACAATGAGCCCCAATTAGTCACTTGGTGGATCGCAACCACGACGGACATGGACGATACGGACCTCTCGATTTTTCGCTCCAAGAATCGCAAGAAAGACAATGCGGATGCTACGACAATGGCCACTACGCCCACCTCGGAGGCATATCAAAATCGTATTATCACATCGAGGCCAACGACCGAGGATACCTATCCAAATTGTCCACGCGCCGGTGTTGCCCTGATCCTCAACCACAAGGAAGTCAAGGCGCACAAGATGCGCATGGGCACCGAACGGGATCGCGATGCTATCAAAAAATCTCTGCTCAGTTTTGGTTTCGACGTGCGGGCCTACAACGAGCTAACCTTTGCCGAAATCAGCGATTTGCTCCAAAACGGTGACTAACGCCCATTCCATTTATATTAATATATATAAATGTATGATAATGATTCTTATCGGAAATTCAATTTGCTTGCAGTGGCACGCGAGGATCACAGTCAGAACGACTGTTTCGTACTGGTTGTCATGTCGCATGGCGAGGAAGGCAAGGTCTACGCCAAGGTATGTCTAGCGCTCACTGGTCTCCATTCTAGTGTCTGGTTTGTAATGGCTTCTGTTTGAAGGACATGGCGTATCCCGTGGAGCGTCTGTGGAATCCCTTTCTGGGCGACAGCTGCAAGACGCTTGTGAACAAGCCGAAGCTCTTCTTCATACAGGCCTGTCGCGGCAACAATTTCGAGAGGGCCGTGGAGTTCACAGAGTTCACAGTCATGACTAGAGAACTGGCCCCACCAGCGGCCCCAGTGACACAGCCCATTACCTATGCCATTCCCAGCACCGCTGACATGCTCGTCTTCTACTCAACCTTCGAGAGTAAGTGAACTGAATCGCTGAATAATCGAGATCAGCTCCAATTTATTCCATTTTCCAGAGTTCTACTCGTTTCGCAATGTCGAATACGGCTCTTGGTTCATACAGACTCTCTGCAAGGTGCTCGACTTGGCTGCCTGCAATGAGGCCAGTCAGCCGGAGGGCGTGGATCTGCTGCGTCTGCTGACCACAGTCAATCGCAAGGTCGCCTACGAGTATCAGTCGGACATGAAGAACGTGGAGTACAATCAGATGAAGGAAATGCCCAATTTCATGTCCACATTGACCAAAACTTTCAACTTGCGCGTTAAGCCAAAGAATTGAAACAGCCAGCAGAGCCTATTCGATTAAACATATATATATAAGCTTTCAACAATCCATGTAAATAAACATGTGCCGCGTGTACAACATAACGAAAATGTATCTGTATCTCTAGGCACACATGTATCTGAGCTATCGAACTATCGATCTATCGATCGTTAAGCTAATGCAACTTAGGACGAACATCGGTGTCAGCACATAAAGAGAGAATGTATCTGTATCTTTAAGTGCACATGTATCTCAATCTGTGTATCTATCGAACTATCGATCTATCGATCGTTCACGTGTTAAGCGACTTAGGACGAACAGCAAAGTCAGATATATATATATGTATACAATATATATATATATATATATATATATATATATATGTGCCACATACTCTAAATGTATCTGTATCTCTGCAAATGTATCTCAGTCTGGGTAGCTATCGAGCTATCAATCGTTAATGTGTTAAGCCAATGCAACTTAGGATAAACAGCAGATTCAGCATATATATACACATATATATATTTATATATTATATTTTCAATTTAATGTAACTGCATCTGTATCTGTGTATGCTTAAGTATCTCTAACTGTGTATCTACTGATCTTTCAATCGCTTTGCCTTAGAGTTAAAGAAACTTAGGCTGTATCAGCAAATATAAATATATATATATATATATATATATATTATATATACACATATTCCACATATCGTATATCCTGCATCTGTGGCTGCAAAAGTATCTGTAACTGCAGCTTTGTGTCTCTCGTAGAGTTGGCCCTGAAGCCTTAAAGACTTGAGGGCAAACAGCTGATAAGGCAGAAATAGACAGATATGTATTTTTATAAGCATGGAAACAATGTATCTATATATGTATCTGTATCTGTAGCTATATCTGCAATGTATCCATAAATGTATCTGCACCATATATATATGTGAATATATATTTATATATGTATATATATATATATATACACATACATATGTAAGCTTTTTTTATAGCACAATTGTTATGTATACAACATATAGTATCTGTAACTGTATCTGTATCTCTGTATCTATCGATCGCAATGTTTTTATTTTTGTTTTCCTTTGAGTTTTTTCAGTCGCACTTATCTGGAATTGCGTTAATTCCGCTGGGGCGCGATAACGTGTTGTGCAACGTTTATGGGTTAGATTGCTAATAGTTAGTTGTGGCCCAGCTTGAATGGGTTTGTGGATGGAGGCACGGGCAGGGGAGGGGCAGGGGATAGGAGCTGGTGCAGCGTGCCGGTTCGCATGCAGCTGCCACGCGCCGCCTTTTTTCAGTTGCATTCAACATGCCACGCTTGCCGCACTTCGGTGCGCTGTGCCTGCTGCTGCTGGTGCGTCTATGGCAAGCGCTGGGCCTGGCGCCGCTCAGCTTTAGCTGTGGACGTGGCGCACGCTGCCGCCGCCTGCTGACAGCCAGCGCCTGGCTGCACTGGCTGGGCCTGCTGGCGCTGTCGCCGCTGCTGCTGCGCCAGAGCCTGGCCATGTACGAGGCGACAAACGTGAAGCACTCGACGCTCTTCAAACACATCGCGCTGGCCACGATGGCCGGCGATGTGGCCATATCGCTGGCGCTGCTGTTCGCCCACATCTGGCAGCGCCAGCGCCTGGCGCGGCTGCTGAACGGGCTGGCGCGCCTGCAGCGCCGGCACAGCCTGAGCTGGCCCGCCACGCTGCTGATGTGGGCCAAGTTGCTGCTGTCGCTGTACGAGCTGCTCTGCAACGTGCCTTTTCTGCAACAGAATGCGGCACGGCTGCCCTGGCTGCAGCTGCTGGCCTACGGCATTCAGCTCTATGTGCAGCACATGAGCAGCGTCTTTGGCAATGGCGTCTTCTGCGCGCTGCTCCTGCTGCTGGGCAGCATGCAGCAACTGGAGTGGCAGTGGCAGCAGCCGGCGGCAGGTCAACAGCGACGGCTGCTGCGGCGCGAGCAACGTCTGTTGCTGGTCTGCGCGGACTTCGTTGGCGTCCTGCAGCTGGGCATCTTCCTGCTGGTCATTGGCAACTTCATCAACATCCTGGCCAACATGTATGCCTATATGTCCTACTTTGTGGAGCAGCACGGCATCCCCTTGACCATATCGAACTATTGTGCGATCGTCGCCATTCAACTCTATGCTCTCATCTTGGCCACGCAAATGTGTCAAGTGCAGCATGCGAAGCTGCGCAGGCGCTGCCTGGAGCTGTGCTATGTGCCTCAGCAGCTGACCCTGGAGCAGGTGCGTCTCAATTCAATTCCTGTGAGATCTTTCGCTTTCAGACTTGTGCTGCTTGCAGGCTGTGCTGCCGACGCCGCTGCTGATGTGGCCCCTGGACAACCTGAAGTTCCCCATCTTGGGCCTCTTCAACTTGGACAACGCATTTTGGCTCTTTCTCGTCTCCTATGCCGTCAACTTCATAGTCATCATATTGCAGTTCACTGTGGAGAATATAAAGCGCTGAGAAGCTTTTGTTTTTGGTTTGTGCATTGGCTTAGCGATGACAGCTACCATGTCAGCTGGCGCCATCTACTGTTCGTTATTGCGCTTGTCTCTAATCTCATTTTTATCGTTTTTTTTGGGGGTTTTCTAAAATCGCTCAAACTGGATAAGAAAGTGGCCAAAAACCGAGAGCCACCCAGCATAGGAAAGAAAAAACTAGTTGCTGCAATAGACAACACCTGTCTAGCTTATAATACTCTTTACCTTTGTATGTATTGATATGAAAACTAATTGAATAAATAATTTTTTGCGAATTTTGAATTTATTTAGATAGAGCAACATACATACAGAAGCATTAAGAAAGAGAAAGAGAGAGAGAGAGAAAGAGAGAGAGAGATAGAGAGAGAGGGTAAGAGAGAGAGAGAAAGAGATAGAGAGAGAGAGAGAGAGAAATAGAGAGATAGGGAATAGAGAGGTAGAAGAGCGAGAAAGAGAGAGAGAGAAGAGGAGAGTGGAGTGAGAGAGATAGAAAGATTTTGTCGAGAGCGAGAAAGCGATAGAACGCGCTCTCACCCTCTCTCTCTCTCTCTGTTCTCGCGCTCTCTCTCCCCCCTCTCTCTCTCGCCGCTCCTCCTCTGCTCCTCTCGTCTCGCGCGCTCTCTCGCGCTCGCCGCTCCTCCTCGCGGCTCTCGCTCGCGCCTCTCGCCTCTCTCTCGCTCTCGCCCTCGCGCTCTTCTCGCTCGCGCGCTCTCGCAGTAGAGAGTAGAGAGTAGAGAGAGAAAGAGAGACAGAGAGAGAGAGAGAGTGAGAGTGAGAGAGAGAGGATCAGCGGGAGACAGTGAGAGAGAGGGAGAGGGACAGAGCGAGACAGTGAGAAAGAGGGAAAGACAGAGATAAAGACAGGTTTAAAGACAGAAAAAGGCAGAGCTAAAGAGAGAGAGAGATAGAGAGAGAGAACAAAGGAGACAGACATAGATGCATTGAGAAATATAGATAGGGGCAGAGAGAGAAAGAGATAGTACGAGAAAAAAGAGTGCGGCAGAAAGAAATTTATAAAGATACAGATAGAGACTGAGCAAGTGATAGACAGATAGAGTAAGTGAGAGAGAAAGTGGAAAAGCAGTAGACAAAGTGACAAAGAGAGAGAGAGAGAGAGGCAGACATATACATAGATAGAGTGATGAATGATGTGAATTACCCAAAAAATATCGTATAATTTAATATTACATTCGAATTTTGGCAATCTTCTCCAGCCTTAAGCTGTGAAAGGTTGACAAGGTCAAGGTCAAGGTCATTATTTCTAATCAACTTCGCATATACTTCGTTGTCGCTGATTAAACATTGTAACTAAGAAATGACCTCGGGCCTACGACTATATATAAATATATATATATATATATGTTTACATATGACCATAATGTAACACTTGTTAACTCGTCTTGCATCATTTTCTATGATAACTCAAACATACTTCTTCTTCTCTTGATTGGCATGTATTATGATGGTATCAAAATATATATATATATATTTATTATGTAATAGGTAAAGTAATCAAAGTCCATTGACTTCAAGTTCCATTAAAATTTAATTTCATTGCAGCTGATATGCCCGTAAATCAGATCAGACAGGGTATTCCCTTGTCAAAGTATACAAATCTCAGACTTCGATCCACTTCAGTCAGTCAGGGTTCTAGTTGCATAAGAAATGCCTTAGCCACGCCCCCCGCTGCAATCGATAAGCCGTTAACAAAGCATTTCGAATGCGGACTTGGGTTGCATCATTCACGAATCACTCAAAGCGCCAAAGCTAGTTTTGGGGACTGAAACGACTCATGATTGAATGGGGCAAATTCGTAATCCAATTTTTATGACATGCATAGTTAAATTAGCTCTAGTCTTTAGTTTGGACTGAAACGTTTCCTGCTTTCACTTCGACAGCTGCGCCGCGGCGGCAGCAACTGCTTGAACTGCCCTCGCATATTAGCATATGTATATGCGATCTACTCTTGCCAGGTAACCGCAAGCACAGGAGCCTTCGCACGCGCCAATTTTCCAAGCCGCTGGGCGGACGACGGTTGCAGCTGTCCCTCAGGCCCCAGCTGCCCGCTTGACTGGCTGCAACATCGGCTCCGCTCAGGTGTTATGTAAAGGCAATTGCCGTTGCCGTTGTGGTTGTTGTTGCTGTTGTTGTTGTTCGGAATTGATCTAGAGATCTGTTTTTTGTTATTGTTGCTCTTCGCTTTTGTTCAGCCCATTCGCTTTTGCATTCTATGGAGCTCATCTCCAACTCCAGCTCGAGCTATGCCCAGCACCGTTAAGACGCCTCTGCATTAGCTTCACTAGCTTCGACTGCAGCCTGGGCAGCGGCTCTGAGCGGTGGCAGCTTCAGCTTATCGCATTGTTGTGTTTGCCTCTGTTATCTTCGTCTTCTTCTACAGCTTTTGATTTTTGATCTGCAGCAGCAGCAGCTGCGCTTGGTTGAAGCTCTTGTTTGGATCTGGCTGCTAAACAACTGAGAATGGGGCGTGTTAATGGCCAACGCTGGGCGCATTCGCTCATCAAGCGTACCTTGCGCACTTTATGGCCTATACCCTAGACAAATTGCCTAACATGGGGTATATTGGCACTGAGTGTGACGGCTAGTGTAGGGCATGCAGCATACGCCTATATATTTCTCAACTGTCTGTCTCAATTATAATTCCTTCAATTTATAGCTAATATCTATAAAAATCGATTTTAAGCAAAGCTTTGCTCAGCGCTTGGCATACCAAGTTTTGTAGCTGTAAATTTGATATATATATTTGCATATGCCATAAGCAGCTTGATCTCAGTTTCACTCTCGATAAATATCGATTTCATCTGTTGCTCTTTTGCGCATAGCTCGAGAAGTATGGAAGCTATATGCAACAAACTTGATATGTAGGTCATTGGGTATACGCACATTCAAAATATATATTTTGTATGCACTGTTATTAAATGAAAGAAGAGTATATTGGCACTTGTGCAGCAGTCAGCTGTTTGCCTTTCATGTCTATGACCCTTGTCTACAGGGTATCACCCCGTCAAGCACTCTCCGCCCAAGCACGCTGCTTAGCTTCCTCGTCTTCTGCTCGAGCTGCTACCTCTTCTTCTGCTTCTTCTTCTACTGCATGTTTATGTTAATAAGTTTGGCTGTTTATTGTTTTTATTATTACAAAGTCTATTGCTATTTTGTTGTTGGCTTTTGGGCTGCTCTTCCTTCTTTCATTTCTTTACATTTCCATTTCATTTAATTTCTTTTGTATTGTTTAGTTTTAACGGTTTTTTATTGTTTTGTTTTATAAAGATATCTTTTATGTATTTCACATCAAGCAGGATAAAAGCTGAGCTGCTGCATTCTTTTGACCCAGACTTTGTTGGGGCACAGTTTCATTTTCCTGCCACTTGTTGCACTTGTCGCTCCTCCTCTGCTGCTGCTGCTGCTTCTTCTTCTTCTTCTTCTTCTTTATGTTGAAAAACTAGTCGCATCATATGCTCGCATAGAGCTAGACTTAACTTGGCTTGCGGCTTGCGGCTTGGCCAGCTCAGTTCAGTTGATCGCGAGTTGTTTGCGCTGTCGGTTGTGCGCGATGTAAGAGAGACTGTGACAGCGTCTGTGTGTGTGTGTGTGACTGTGTGTGCGCGCGCGAGTGTGTATATTTTGGTTAAATTGTGCACAAGAAACAAACGCATTCAAAAATATTCAAAGATATTCGCTGAGTATGGCCGGGCTGAGCCTAATTTATGCTGCCTGCTTTGGCGCCTGGATGATCTGCGTGTGCGTAGCTGCGGCCCAAACGGGATTAGAGCAAGGCAAGTTGCAGTTGTTATGGCCTTGTTAGTGAGTGTGCATAAGCCAAGTGGCTGTGTGTGTGTGTGTGTGCGTGTGTATTAGAGAGTTGTGCGTGTGGATTTGTCAATGCAGCTTCGACGTCTCCAAAGTCTTCCAGTCTTCAGGTCTTCAGCTCTTTCGTCTCGCATTGGCCAACTTGTTTGTCTAGATGAACCGTTAAATAACCCCAATTTCAATTTGAACGCTGTAAATTTACATATGTCTGCGACGATAAGAGACTAGGAAGTGGGAGCTCGATCAATTGGTCAATTTGTTGGTCTGTTGATGCAACATGTGGCACAGTTAGGCCTTGCACTGCCTGCAGCACAAAACTTGTTGCCCCATTTCCCAACCAGCTCCTGCGTCCACACACCTTACACTCACACACGCCCCAAGCACAGCGACAACAAAAGTTGAGCTGGCCCAAAGTTGAAGTGAAGAACTGGAAACACTTAAAGAGTTGCCGCAATTTCCTAATTAAGTTTTCATTTGCGAGTCGCTCACTCAAACGCGTACTTGGAATATATAAAACACTAACCGCTTGAACCTAATGCTTAAGTATACCGACAGCTCAACCCACTTGACCCACCGCCCCAACTAGTTCCGTATGAGAAACACTGCGACGCGCCCGCTAAATGGAGAAGCATTCAAATTATACATCATTTACCTGACGTGAGAGCATTGACAATTGAGTGAATGTGCCATAAATTGTGGATTATTAAACTAGTTCGATGCGAAAACTAGGCGCGCCGATCGCAAGTATTACAAGGCTATTTAAATTAAAACTGGAGCGTTTGCTATTATCAAATGGAACTAAGATAAAACCGTCTATTGTCAGGCCACTGCTCAATGCGATAAACGTTAACAAAGCGCAGCGTAACATGGCCATAATAGATCTTCGATGTTAGTGAAGTCACAGAAGATTGTGAAAAGCCAAAGGCAAATCACAATTTGGTTGTTTGTCCAAACAAATGATTGGAAAAGTTGCTCATCAAAGCACATTTTATATCTTTTAGTATTTCTCTTAACTGTGACCCGAATACTTTATAAATATATTTTTCATTTTTATTGTATTTTTGTTTTCATTTAAACTGAATTTTTTTTATTTTTTGGTTTTCTCTCAATTGAGAAAAGGCAATTCAGCCTTTGGAATTTGTTCCTTACATTTTTTTC